CACTCGCAGAGACTGTAGCTAACACGCAGAGACACTTAGAGCCTTCGCAATTAGCAAACACCAGCAGAAAAAACCGCGCGACAATGATTTTGAGTGGAGGGAGAGCGAAATTTCGCTAAGTCCGTTGACGACTTTGGCGGGCCCCGCAAAAAGGGCGACCGGGCGGACCAGGCGGACAGCAAAGTTACGCGGCATCAGCATTTTTTTCCTTTTCTAGCGTTTTTTGACGTTCATCGATGCTTTTGGTAGGTGAACCCTTGATGCAGCGAGATGCCGCAAACTTTGCCGTCCGCCTGGATTCGAGGCTAGAAGACAAGTGAGCAAGAGCGAGCTCGAATAGAAAGTGGTATTTCTATTTAGTCCAGAGTGTACACGTTTATATATATATTTGGTCTCAACTTCAATAAGACACCTTACTCAAGTGGTTACGAGGTCAGACTTGAATTGGTCATGTTATCTGATGGGGTTTCCCCGCGTAGGTTCAAATCCTGCAGGTGTCGAGAAATGGTTCTTTTTTGAACCTTCATGTTTTTTCCTGCGGAAGAGTCTGCAATTGCATTCGGAATGCATCATTTTTGCCTTCTGGCATGTTTGCTGGTATGTTCGATAGAGTTGCGCGGAAACGATGTTTTTTTTTCTTTCTCTCTTGTACAACCTATACATGTAAACGAGCCATCAATGTGTATATACTATGCTTTGGAAGTGTCAAGGAACGAAGGAACGGGAAATAAACATCAGAGAACACTTATTGTACTGCCATGCTGGACGAAACACAAGGCGCTTCATTACATGTAAGTCACGAACTGCAAACTGGAGCACGAGAAGTACATGTAGGTCGGTGAAAGCTGAAGTTATCGAATCGTTGGTCGAGTTTGAGTGATAACAGAAACATCGCAGAGGACTGCTTAGCCCAGTATCAAGATCGAGAGCAGCATGAAAATGCCCAGAGAAGCCTTAGCTGAACACCAAGAAGAGAGAACTGTCTGCCTGTTTTCGGGAGGTGTGAAGCTCAGCCTTGGAAACTTAGCAAAGGGGTCCATAATATTCGTCGTCGAGTCCGTCGCCGTCCGTGTCCGAGATCCTTCGATGCTGCCTAGTGTGCTCGATGTTTCCGTCGTAATTTTGTAAAGTAGATGCTAGATCCGCCTTCTCAAGACTTGGATTGATCTTCCTCTCAAGGTTTTGTCCCATTTGTTTGTTTTCGTCGTTGCTTGCAGAGGTGAGTTCCGATCTGATAAATTCATCGTCAGTTATGTTGACATTCATCGTTCCGGTGTTCACAAATGAGCTGGAGGGAGTTCATGGTTCGGAAATACCTAGTACTGGCGCCGGACGAGGGATTATCGCGAGGTGTCACGGCCAACGGTCCCGTGCGACGCGCTGCCTCCGTCTGAGGGCGAAGGAATTCTTCCTCAAACTTGCGTACCTCTTCGGGGCGGAGCTCCTTGTAGGAATCAGAGAACTCTCCCTCAATGTGCCCATGTCAATGATTAATGATTAATGCCTTGCATTTGTCCGACATTTCGGGGGTGGTATGTGGGACCCGCATCCGATAGATTCGGCCCACAAATGATTCATCAAGCTGCATCAAGGTCGAGCCCAATTGCAGCTGAGTCCGCTGTGGCTGCTCGACCTAGACCGTTGCGGAGTCACCACACTGGTTCAGCTCCATGGTCGAACCCGGTGAGCTCGTCATCGAGAGTTTTCGGCTAGTACACGTGAGTGGTATGAGGGACGGGATAAGGACGGAAAGCATAACATACCGATATTTATGGGTGGAAAGCGACGCTAAGACTGCGTAGCACGCCCAGTACCGAATCGCCTGGATAGCCTTCGACAGTGTTCGTTGACGAGCAAGCGGAGACGCAGCCATACGAGAATATGATAGAAAACTGTACTCCTGCTGATGGTAGTGGTTGCAGACGAAGATGTGTAGAACGGACGATAGGTCTCATTCCACAATTTGTTTGCGCGGAACAAACAAATGCGACGCGTCCAAGTCGCGAGTCGCGCCAAAGTCACCGTTGGCGAAGGACTTTTTGAGGCTCAAGAAGGAAGGACAGTCTTGAGATAACGTCCAACAATATTCGAAGGGAAGATTGCAATCGAGGAGTGGATGGTAGACATAAAATCTTCTTAGATGTCCTCGCTGAAACGTGCTTGAATTGGGACGAGTTGGCTATGAACTGGATGAAGATGTAAAACGTAGATAGTCAGAATACCATTTTAACCTGAAGATTTCCTTCAAACCATTTGCGAGCCCACAGCACAGAGCGAAAAGATGATATCATTGAACGTATGTACGACGAGACATTGCGACAAAACCCATACAACGACCACGAAGAGTACGCTGAAAGACGAGCCCGACGCACCCAAGTCCCATCGGTAGTGCTTCTCCGGCGCATGAATGACGGTCTCGATGTCCTCGACCCACACCAGTCCCTCAGAGAAGGCGGGCGAATCGTCGTCGAGATGCTTTGAATCCGCCGTGAAATTGCGTTGGAGAAAAAGAAAGGGGAAGGCAAAGTTTTTATACCGTGGACAAGTTTAGGGCCGGTCGCGTTGGTACTGTACAGGACCTGTGGGAACGTTCGACCATCAACGTCGTCGATCTCTTTTGGCGGGGCTCGAGCTCATCAGGTCTCAACGACGGGGAAACGCTTACTGGTGCACAGACTGATCACTCTTAAACGGCACCGCAGAGGATGTCGGTAGCCTCAATAAACCCCTTCAGCCTCCTCAGCGGTACGTTTTCTTCGATTATTCAAAACCTCTTGATTTTTCTCATCATCTATCATGCAATTTTTTTCCATCGTCGTGCGACCGAAAAAAAACAGAGGACACCGAGGTGCCGGAAGTCGCAAAGGTCGAGAAGAAGGAGACCAAGGCTGACAAGACTCAGGCCCCTCAGCAGGCTACTCGCGGAACTCAGAAACCCCGGGGAGGAGCTGGCAGCAAGGGTGGTCGCTACTATGCTCGCGGCGGAGGGGCGAAGCCTCAGACCCGCGAAGGTGGCGCAGAGGCCGAAGAATCCGCCCCCGCTCGTGAAGAGAGACGAAGTGTGTACCATTTTCTACGATATTTTACATTACTGACCCGGGCTTGATCAGACGGTGACGCTGGTCGCGGCCGTGGAAGGGGCGGTGGAAGAGGCAGAGGTGATCGTGGAGGAGGACGCGGGGCTCCTGGCGCCCGTGGTCGTACCTTCGACAAGCACAGCCAGACTGGACGCACGTAAGTTGCTGTTCAGTGTGCTTAGAACCATAAACTAAACATTGCAAATGATTCTTTACAGAGACACCCAGAAACAAGTCAACCAGGGCTGGGGTAGTGATGAGGGCAAGTCCGAGTTAAAGGCTGAAGAGGAAGGGTCGAAGGACGCAGCTACGGAGACTCCTGTTGCTGCCTCTGGGGACTGGGCAGAAGGCGCCGGAGGTGACGATGCGTGGGGCACACCAGCCCCCGCAAGTGGAGATGCACCCGCACAAGAGGGAGCAGCGACCCCGGGAGAACGCCGTCGCCAGGAAGAAGAGGAGGACAACACTCTTACCCTCGAGGAATACCTCAAGCAACAGAAGGAGAAGCTGTCCACAGTGGTTCCCAAGTTGGGAGAGGACAACGTCAGGAAGGCAAACGAAGGCGAAGATGTCTTCGAGGGTGCCGTCCTCCACGCCAAGGACGAAGAGGACGCCTACTTTGCTGGCAAGGTAATTGCATACTCGTTTCATAATTACGACAAAGGCTTAGTATCATGGCATTTGCAGACAAGGAACGCGCCGAAGCAGCGCTCGAAGGCCGAAAAGGCGAAGGAAACCATCGCCTACGAAGGTCACTTTGCCGACGCATCTCGAGGATTCCGTGGCCGTGGGCGCGGCGGTGATCGCAACGGTGAATCTCGCGAGTATCGCGGACGGGGCCGTGGAGGCAGAGGCGGTCGTGGAGCCCCTCGTGAGGGTGGTCGCGGTCGCGCAGAAGCGAACGGCAACGGAAATGTCGACGTTGCTGACGAGTCCGCTTTCCCTGTCCTCGGGGCATAAGCGCAGACATACCGAATTGCGTCCTGATGCAATTCGTATACGCCCATCCAAAAGCACACATCCCCTTCCTTTCTCCTTCAAAACTGTCGCAGTATCGGTTACTTGTTGTGGCATATGATGCACTGAAGCACTGAATCTTTGTGATTATTGTACACTGATGGTCTCTTTTCTTGCCCTCCTTCCTAATGCTTGTTGCATATATGTTCGCATACTGAATATGAAACGCTTTCCATGTCTGGGGATGTTTAAATATTGAATTTTTCGTTCGTAAGGAACTCGACTGAGGAACACAACACTTTGAATGCATCGTCTAAGAGTCGATAAATTACAGCATGCAAAATGCGTTCACGCTACTTGAACTCTGCAGTCTTCCCGAAATACTCCCATTGCCCAGGTTGAGGCTTTTCTTCTAGCGGTTCCCATCTAGCAGCGAAGAACATAATGAGTGAATGGTATTGAGAATCTTTCGCGGAGTACATACGCTTTCCATTGGATCATGTTCCCCACCAAATTCAGCTCATCCTTCGCAATCATAATAGCCTCCTCAATTTGCCCCTCGTCCAAATCCTGTTCCACTTTTTCAACGTCTCCCTTAGCAGATTCCACAATGCTGAGTTTTCTTTGTGTGAGGGCCTCAGTGCCTTGTCGGTAGACGGAGGTGGGTGGAATTTCGGAGAGACGGGCAAGCGTTGCGTGGTACGTTTCGAGGAGAGCGGGGATGGGACTTGGGTGGACGGCTACCCCAGTAATACCAGTGGTAGACTTGAGAGCCTGGAATAGTGGACGAGAAAGGCGAAACATCCTGTTTTTATGTGACTGAGAGGAGGATGGTCGATGATCGACGTCAAGTTCAAGTTCGTCGCGTCCAAACTCTTGCAGGGACCACGACCACGACCATCGACTTGTCCAATCCTCCGGCAAGGATTTTCATCCTTCGTCCTTCATTATGTCGATAGCCCTCAATCCTCTTCGCGCTTCATTTCCTTCAATAAGATTGTGGCAAAGACCAGCCGTTGCTTGGTCTTTGTGGACGTCAACACCAATCCGCGCTGCACTCGCACTCCCTCTTCCTGGACTTCAGCTCGCGATTCCAAGTCTCGCGTCATTATGGGAGTTGCTTCCACCATTCCTACTCGCGGTGCCCAAGAAGAAAGTATCGCATTCACGAAAAGCAATGCGGGCAGCTAACAAGGGGTTGAAGGATAAAACAAGTTCGTCCCCACACTCCAATTTCCTGAACATTTTTTGACGAGCACTTCTCTCTTTCTTTCTTGAAACTATGCAGATCTCGTCAGCTGCCCAGCATGCGGCTCACCCAAGCTTGCGCATCACTTATGTGCTTCTTGCTATTCCCAAATATCCCGAGGTTTCAAGAGAGAAGCTCGAGAGCGGTTGGCTTCCTCGGAGAAAAGTATGCCATAGACTTCCGCGACGTACAGTTGTGCGTAAGATGCTCCTCATTC